ACCTGCTCTTCTCAGCCCCTTTAACCATGATTCAGGCAATTAACACAGAACAATCATTATAAAGACTAATTAGCTGCTTGCAAAGTGCTCTGATCACCAGTGTTAGGTTTTGGGTGGGGAATGTTCCCCAGGGCTCCCAGGCTTAACTTGAAGAGGCAGGTTCAGAGATGGGATGTTGGGCAGATCCAGGGCTCTGTGTCAAGGTTTGATGGGCTACTGGGAGGCAGCTGAAATTTAGAAGGTTGAAACCAATTGGTAAGAATGGGTCCTGGAGGACATGCCCTTAGGGACCATCTGCTGTCCCCAGCACCACCACTACTATTTCTTGTCTGTTTTTTTGAGACAGGGTTTCTCTGTGTAGTCCTGGCTGTCCTGGAACTTACTCTGTAGACCAGGCTGGCCTCGAACTCACAGAGCTCGGTCTGCCTCTGCCTCCTGAGTGCTGGGATTAAAGGCATGTGCCATGCTGCTGCCAGCTAACTTGATTATTTGTTTTTTGGTTTTGCTTTTCTTTTTTTTCCTATTTTGTGTGTGTGAGTGCACAAGCATGCATCTGTCTCCTTGGTAGCTACCCCCACCACCTTTGCCAGGAGCTACAGTACCCTGGCCTTTCCCAAGCGGAGGTCTTAATCGCTGTCCCTTTCCTTTGCCGGGATTGGTCTGTCCCTGGCTGGCTTTGTCTCATCTTCTAAGGACCGGTTTTAAATGCTTCAGAAAGGTCTTCCCTGGTAAAGGTTAACTCTGTTTCCTAACCTCTGTCCTTCAAATTCTTCTATTTCTTATCACCAGTAGAAAGAAAAACACCTGTTCATGTCTCACAGAAGGGACACATCTGACACCAGATGTGTGGGGTTCCCCTTTGGCTTACTTTTGCTGGCCAATCTCTCCCAGTGGTAACTTTTCTTCCTGTCTTCCTAAGACCAGGTCTCATCATAAAGTCCAGACTGTCCTGAAATGCGCTGTGGTGGCTTGGATGACAATGGCTCTCACAGGCTCACAGAGAGAGGCACTTTTAGGAGGTGTGGCCTTGTTGTAGGAAGTGTGGCACTGGGGGTGGGCTTTGAGGTTTCAGAAGCTCAAGCCAGGCCCAAAGGTTCTCTCTCTTCTCTCTCTCTCTCTCTCTCTCTCTCTCTCTCTCTCTCTCTCTCTCTCTCTCTCTCTCTCTCTCTCTCTCTCTCTCTCTCTCTCTCTCTTCCTGCTGCCTGCCAATCCAGATGTAGAACTCTCGGCTCCTTCTCCAGAACCATGCTTACCTGCCGAGATTTCTGCCATGATGACAATGGACTAAACCTCTAAACTGTAAGCCAGTACCAAGCAAATGTTTTCCTTTATAAGAGTTGTCATGGTCAAGGTGTCTCTTCACAACAGTAGAAACCCTAAGATTCGCATTTTGTAGCACAGGCTGCCCTCCAATTTGTGATCCTTCTGCCTCAGCCTCCTGAGTACCAGGACTGCAGGAGTGTTCCACCACATCTGGTTGTGGGGTTCCTTCCTTCTTGTTTTTGTTTCTTGCAACATTGAAGTTCAAACCTGGGCCTTGAACACCTATGCAAACAGTCTATCACTGAGCTACAGACCAAGCCTATCATTACCACTCATCTTCTCTCTGTCTGTCTCTCCCTTTGTCTCTCCTCTTTTCTTTGTTTTATATGGACAGAGTTCTGTTATATAGCCCAACCTGGCCTTAAACTCACAGTTCTCATGCTTCTACGTCCTCAATGCTAAGATTACGAATCTTCTCAGGACTGGAGAGAAGGCTCAAGGGTTAAGAGCACTGGCTACTCTTCCGGAGGACCCAAGTTCAATACCCAGCACTCACAGGGCAGCCCACAACTGTGTAACTCCAGTTCTAGGGGATCTGACACTCCAACACTGATATACATGCAGGCAAAACATCAACGCACATAACAAATAAATCAATAAATTTTAAAGCAACAACAAAAAACAAGTCTCTGTCCCTCCCTCCCTCTCTCCCTCCCTCTATCCATCCATCCCTCTTTTCCTTCCTTCCTTAGAGACAAGGCCTTACCTTGTTGCCCCAGCTAGCTTGGAATTCACCATGTAGCCAAAGCTGACTTCAAATTCACTGCAATCCTCTTTCCTTACCTTGTAAGTGCTGGTCCTACAGGTATGAGCCTCTATACCTAATTCATATATCACAATACCTTGCTGGTCTTGATTTATTGTATTTTTTAGTTTATGATCTCTTTTGAATGTAGGAGGGTGTGTTTCCAGCAGATGGTACATAGAAAATGCTATGAAGTGAGTGACTGGAGTTTCCACCTGGATTCAGGATGTTGCCTGAGCTGAGCTATTACCTGGGGCCATGTCTGGGGTCCATGGCTCAGCCACAGCTGGGGTCTGTGTTGAAGTCTATGGCCCAGGTTGGGATCTGAGCCAAAGACTGTGGCCTTGCTGGAGTCTGGGGGCCATGCTGCAGCAGGGGCCATACACATCTGGGTGACCTGTGCTGCCAGCCCGAGTCATGATGTCATCCAGGTCCTGGTTGCTGCCGAGGACCATGTCTGAGTCTAGCTTGATGCATGTGGCTCCTGTTGCCACTACAGGCTGTGAGGATCAGGTCAACCAGCCACCTGAGTCCAGATTGGTGTCCAAGGGCCAGGATAGAGCTGGGGTCAGGCAGATCTGAGTGGCCTGTGCTGCTACCAATACCATGATGATGTCCAGACCAGTGCTGCTGCTGAAGACCATGTCTGAGTCTGTGGACTTACTACAGTCAGGGTCTGTGTTGATGTCTGAGGCTCCTGTCACCATTGAAGGCTGTGAAGACACCTGAGGAGCCGGGCGTTGGTGGCGCACACCTTTAATCCCAGCACTGGGGAGGCAGAGGCAGGCGGATCTCTGTGAGTTCGAGGCCAGCCTGGTCTACAGAGCTAGTTCCAGGACAGCCTCCAAAGCTACAGAGAAACCCTGTCTCGAAAAACCAAAAAAAAAAAAAAAAAAAAAAAAAAAAAAAGACACCTGAGGTCTGAGGTCACACTACCACTGGGGCCCTAGGGCAGATCTGAGTGACCTGAACTGCCACCTGGGGCAATGGTGACATCCAGACCCAGCTGCTGCTGAAGACCATATCTAAGTCATTAGACCTACTACAGCTAGGGTCTGTGATGAAGTCTGAGTCCTGTATTGTCAGCAAAGGTCACATAGAATCCCAGGGTTGGGGCTGCAACTTGAGGACTTGGTGGTGTCCAGGGGCCATGTTGCTATCAGAACCACCCCAACCTGAGTGGCCATTGCTTTCATCCAGAGCCAGGATGCTGCTGCCGAGGGCCACATCTGGGTCCACGGTCCAGCTGCAGCTGGGGTCTGCGTTGATGTCTGTGGCCCATGTCACCTCAGGGGCCCATAGGAACCATACCAGATGAAGTCAGAGAGTCTTGCTGAGCCAGCACCACTGGCCCTGGAAAAGCCGGACTTGCCCCTGACTGAACACTGCAGCCAAAGAGTTGGCCCTGATCGGCACAGGAGAGTTGGCACCTGCACTTGGGAGAGATGGCCCCACCCCTCACTACAGGCATGGGTGAACTGACCCTGAGGGCTTCGCACCTGAGGTGGGTGTGGCCCAGTGGCCCAGACTGACCAGCTCAGCTACCACCCAGGCTCATAGGCCAGCTTTGGGTTGATCTACCCTAGCACCTACCACGTCTAGGACCTGATGGAACTCATGAAGGTACAAGTTCTGTGGAATGACACCGGACGGATCTCCAAGACTCTGGCCGGCCACAGGATGTCCCAGAGGAGTTTCAGGGAGGATCCGGTGAGAATGGTGTACCAGAAGCAGAGGCTTTGAACCAGACCAGTGACTCATTGCCATGTAAAGCTGAGTGAACATCGTGTGACTCCAAATGCCACCAGGATAAATGAAGAAATGTTGGAGAAGTGAAGAGGGTTTTTTTCGTTCTTCTTGTTGTTGTTTTTATTTTTGTTTGTTTTGTTTTTATTTTATTTGCTTGCTTTGTTTTGTTTTTATTTTATTTGCTTGCTTTGTTTTGCTTTCATTTGATTTGGGGGGGGGCAGTTTCAAGACAGGGTGTCTCTGTGGCTTTGGAGGCTGACCCGGAACTCACTCTCATAGACCAGGTTGGTTTCAGAGTCACAGAGATCCACCTGCCTCTGCCTCCTGAGTGGTGGCACTAAAAGTGTGTGCCACCACCACCCGGCTTTGATTTGATTTTTAAATTTTTTCTTTTGGGTGGGACGGTGCTGCAGGATTGAGGGGAGGATATGGAGGGACCGGGAGGTGAGCAGAATTGGGGTTCGTGATGTGAAACTCTCAAAGAGTCAATAAAGAAGTAAAATTTTTAAAAGAGTGCTCTGAAAATATTTTTGAAAGCAGTATTTTAGTCTTAAGCCTCACCCTATTGAAAAACAGGTGGGTCCAGGTCTTAAAAGAACAGGACTAAGTAAGTAAGGGCTCACAAACACCAGGATGTTAGCCAACCTGGCTCCTACTCCGGCCCTTCAGAGAGCTAAGATCTGACCTAGGAGGGACATCAAAGAGATTTCAGTTTATCTGGAGGCCTGGGGTATGGGTATGTTTACAGGGCTTCCCTAGATATATACACCTAGTGTACATTTAATATAGCTAAAACCAATATTTCCTGACTCCCTTACCAACTGGGCTCTAGTCTCAAAGGACTGGAGGACAGGAAATCTCCAGACCTCCCTGCCCCAGCTGCGTACACACGGCCAGTCATCATTCCCCAGGAAGACAAGCTGTCTGGGCCTCTCCCTGTCACGTGACTGCTAAAGGCAAGAAGGGACCTCACTCCTGTACCACGCTGTCTCCAGATTTTAATCTTGTTAGTCTGAATTTTGTAAATACATCCAAGCAAAGGAACTTTTCTACTTTGCACTGGTTAGTAAATACTGCTCCCCCCAAATGGGACTGGGGGGTAGGGGGCAGAGACAACAGAGGATAGCTCAGATTAAATAAATTGTTTGGAAAGATACAAATGCTTTTATTGTTTCTGAGTCATTCCTTCATTCAGTGTGTCCCGAGCCCCTAGTGTGAGCTGTGCATTGTTCTGGACACCGGAGACACAACGATGAAGAGAACAGAGGAAATGTGGGTGTGGTGGCGTGCGCCTTCAGCCTCAGTTAACCAGAGTCCGAGGCAGGAGTCTGAGATCAAAAGGGAACATAATGAAATCCAGTATCAAAAATGCAGGTCTGTGCACAGTCCACCCATCCACCCATATACACAAATACCCCCCACACACCCACTCACGCACGCACGCACGCTCGCGCGCGCACACACACACACACACACAGGTTCTCTCTGCTGTCCTAACTGATAATGAATATATGCAGCTTCTGGTACTGGGGATGAAGCCCTAGCCTCTGTACACTTTTGTATGTAAGCATATCAGGCTGCCGAGGTGCTAGGGAAGAAAAACTCAAGCAGAGAGTCGGGGACACATCTCAGCAGCAGAGCACTGTAATAATAATAATAAAAAAGATCGGACAGGGTGACAGCTCAGGGAGTAAAGAGAGGATCAGAGTCCAGACCCATCTAGAAAGTGCCTGCTACCCCAACGCTAGGATGGGGAGACTGGAGGATCCAGGGCTGACCGGCCATCCAGTCTAGTGGTAACCTCTAGGCTCAGTGAGAGCAGTTTCAAAAACCCTGGTGGAGGATAGAGGAAGACACCATCGTCACCCTGTTTGGCACACATGGGCACTCATGAACGTATACATTTGCACCACCCTCCCCAGACCCCACACACATTAAAAATAGGGTGAGGTGATAGAGACAGGCAGGGAACACTATTCATAGGCTACACACTCTTAAAAAACAAACAAACAAAACCAAAACTAGAAACCAAACCAAAACAAAACAAAAAACCAAGGTGCCTCTTGAATAGAGATTGAAGGCAGGGTAGAAACTAGAGGAAGAGTGTTCCTTCCAGGCTTGGGTTAGTAAGGCTTGGCTACTTAAGGAGAGCAGGGAGGCCATGTGACTGGAGTGGAGGACTGTAAGCCTGAAGGAGGAAAGGTCACAGGAGTGGGTGGGGATGACAAACTCTGTAGCAGGTTCTCTCTTTTAAAACTGACAGGTCTCCATGGAGCCCAAGATTGACACAGCGAGGCCTCGGGGAGAGGGCTTTTCTGGGTGTGTTTGTGTGTGTATAAAGCCATGGCATTTGCTTCCCCAACTGCTTCCTGCTGCTAATCTGTCTGCCTCCATCTAGCTTGGCATGTGTGGACAACCAGTAACCTTGTGCTTTAGTTAAAAAGGGAGACTAATCACACACCTCAACAAGTCGACACGGCCACGCCCACAGATCCCCATCCTTGCAGAGAACCAAGGTATTGTGCACGATAGTTTCATGTTGGCATCTAAAAATAAGTAGGAATATGTGTCTCCCCTTCTTCAGTCAGGATGCGCTTTATTTCTCGTTCACCATTTGCTAGCAATGATGCCGACCTGTGTCACATCCTACCCTAACTGCTCCTTCCTGCTAATCTGCCTAATCTAACCAGTTATTTGAGCCACAGTTTCTTCCTCTGACACGGTACTAATGCTTGCTGTTGCAGTGTATCACTGCCATGTAACAAATTAGCACATCAGGTAGACATTGGGTGGCACTTGCAGACAAAAAGAGCGTGGGGATGAAGAAGGGTGGAGTTGCCAGCCAAATGCACAGGTAGTAGGCGATGAATACGCCATGCTGAAAAAAGGTACCACTGTGGGGGAGAGTGTAGATACAAAATAAGGGCTAATTTAAGTTGAAAGAGCTATTTAGTTACAAGCCTAAGCTAGTGGCCGAGAATTTATAATTACTAATAAGTCTCTGTGTGGTTATTTGAGGAGCCAGTGGTCCCCGATGAGAAACTCCACCCACAAGTGTCATTTAATGTGTAAACTTTATTGCTATACATAAAATAAAGCATGCTTTAAAAAAGAAAAGAAAAAAAAGACACGCGATGCCAGATTAAAGTTCACTTTGTAAAAAGCTGCAAGGTGTAAATTATAGCTTTTCCATGTTGGCTTTACATATATAGATGTATGCATCGCACATAGATATATGCATTATATATAGATGCATGTGTTATAAATAGATGTATTCATTATACCCAGATGCCACAACAGCCTGTTCCCAGCCTTGCCGGCAAGAGCTTATCAATATTTGGAAAATTTTTCTTTGAGTTGAGAGTTCATATTTTTTTTGTTTTGTTTTGAATCTTAATCTAACTTGAATGGAAGTTTAATAAAACTCTATTTCTTTTTTCCTTTACAGATGAGATTTGAGTCTACTCCAGCATTCATTAAATAACATAAAACTTTCCAAACTTTCTTCTCATGATTGATGGCATTTAGCTTATAAGAACTGATATCATGTCACGCATAGGGAGAATTTAGATGAAGCCAGACGTGCACTAGTGTTTGCTTGCTTATTCCTGATTTGGATGACAAATGAACTGCCCCATCTGACAGCCAGCACAACCTACAGGAAGATCCCACAGATGGGAAAGTGACCACGTGGCAGCCTTGGTTTGCTAGTCATGGAAATCAGGGGCCAGCTGAAGCAGCGCTTCTGCCGGTCGGTGTTTCTGGGCAGCAGGAAGCTCTGAAGTCAGTGCTTGTTTGGAGTTTTACTGTCAACTCCAAGTCATCAGAACTGTTTTCAGGGGATGGAGAGATGGCACAGTGGTTAAGAGTACATCTTGTTCTTGCAGATGACCCAGGTTCCGTTCCCAACGCTCATACCCTGTACCTCTAGTTCCTGGGAACCTGCCACCTTCCTGTGACCTCTTCTGCAGGCATCAGGCATACACGTGGTATAAATTAATATATGCAGGGAAAACACTCTCACACACAAAATGAAATAAGTCTTAAACAACAACTATATAATTAGACTGACTTAGCTCAGCAGGGAAAGGCACTCGTTTTCAAGTCTGAGCATTTGAGTTCAAGCCCTGAAACCTGCGTGGTCGAGAAACTGACTCCCAGAATTCTCCTCTGACCTCCACACACATTCATAGGGGTCACAAGCATGCCTCTTCTGTTGGAGCAACCCAGACTGTGGCATTTTGTTATGTTATCTCTAGCAAAGCAATCTTCTGTTGTTTGATTTTTTTTAAATTGTTATTTATTTTTATTTCACTTGCATGGGTGTTTTGCCTTCATGCATGTCTACATGAGGGTGTCAGACTCCCTAGGAGCTACAGACAGCCGTGAGCTGCCATGTGGGTGCTGGGAATTGAACCGGGCCCTTTGAAAGAGCAGTCAGTGCTCTTAACTGCTGAACCATCTCTCCAGCCCCTTATTTGCTCTCTCTTTTTTCTTGACAGTATCCTACTTGTGTATAATGCACTGTGATCACATCAACTCCTATACCCTCTGTCACTCCCTTCTCTCTCCGTTTTTGTTTTAATTTTCTAACTTACGATTACTTATCTGTGTGCACTCGTGTGTGTGTGTGTATGTGTGTGTGTGTGTGTGTGTGTGTGTGTGTGTGTGTGTGTGTGTACAAATGTCACATTTTTGGTTCTTGATCCAGGGTTTCATTGTGTAGCTCCAACTGGCCTGGAAGTCACTACATAGACCAAGCTGGCCTGGAACTTGTGGCAGTCCTCCCCACTGTTTCCTGAGGTTATAGGTGTGTGCCACCACCGGTGCCAAGTATTGATGTTTTGAACATAAAGATCTTCTCTTGGTCAGAAGATGTAACCCGAGAGAGCTGACCCACATTTGACTGAAGGTAGTTTCAGCAGAGGGAGTAGGTCTGAGCCATTAGGAGCCAACACTCTGAACAGATGGCAGGATGCACGCATGCAGATCAAGAGAATCTGGGCAAGGCATCTACAGTATTCACCACACATCTAATATTGGGCGTTGGTGATTTGGACTTACTATAAAAACGCCAGTTCAAGAGGAATAGCATGCTGTCTTCTGCCATAGATGGGTTTCCCACCACTATGCCAAAACAGCGGACACAAGCCACTCAAGGGAGATGGGTTTATTCTGTTCGTGATTTCGGGCTATTGTGGCTGTTCCCCCCAGCGCTGTCTTTTTGCCCTTTTATCCTATCCAGCTACCAGCTTATGGGATGGCGCTATCTGCATTCAGTTAGGGTTTACCCCTAAGTTATTCCTCTATTTTATTTTATTATTTATTTATTTTGGGGGAGGTGGTTTAGAGACAGGGTTTCTCTGTGTCTTTGGAGGCTGTCCTGGAACTAGCCCTTGTAGACCAGGCTGGTCTCGAATTCACAGAGATTTGCCTGCCTCTGCCTCCCGAGTGCCACCACCACCCGGCTTTATTATTTACTTTTAAAATACCCGGCCAATTGTCCTGGCATTCTCATCTCTCAGAAGGAAGTTTCTCCACCATATAGTGTTCTACCACATGAGGTGAAATCATGTTCTTCTGCTAATTTGACCACATGTGCAGAATGGATAAGCAAGGAACAAGTGTCAGGACAGGAAATAGGGGGTTCAACTTTTCTGAGTGCCAATTTGAGCCAGCCTTCCAGCAAAAGGACAGTCTTGAGTCCCTACTCAGAGGGACTTACTCAGTAAGGTCTAATTATTTAATTAAGTAATTAAAAATGAATAAATGTAGACACTGAACCCAAATGGAGAGGTGGTCTTCAGCAGTTACATAGGCATCCTGTGTAGTATGTCCTATCAATTATGTCAGTAGCCTGCTCACTGCCCCTCTGGCATGGGCTGATCTCAAATTAATAACTGACTTGAGCTGAGTCAATGGGCTTCTCAGCCTAAGGAAATCTGGTGTTGACCGAGAGTACAGGAACTAGGACAATATTCATGGCTTTCTTTCTTTCTTTTTGTTTTTTATTTTTCAAGACAGGGTTTCTCTGTGGCTTTGAAGGCTGTCCTGAAACACTCTATAGACCAGGCTGGTCTCAAATTCATGGAGACCCACCTGCCTCTGCTTCCTGAGTGCTGGGACTAAAAGCGTGCACCACCACCACCCGGCCATGGCTTTCAACATAACCATGACCTTCCATTCTCAAGATTTAGTGTTTAATTCTTACTTTTTATTTTGCTTTGGGGTATTTGAAACCCAAGGTCTGATGCATACTATGTATATGCTCTATCACCAAGCTATACTCCAAGAGTCAGGAGCTTGTCACCCAGGCCAGGTTGACTTGAAACTCATTATGTAGGCCAGGCAGACTTCAAACATACTATCCTCCTGCCTCAGTCTCAGGAAAGTACCACTATGCCTGGCTACTTGTTATTTATTCTGACCAGAGTCTATTTCTGTTATTGTAACCAAAAGATCATTAGGTAATGTTCTCTGTTTATAAGCAGGAGATTGAACATGCCTCATATATAGCCATTATCTTTTAAAATATTACATCGTTAATTTCAACAATCATTAACTATTAACAATATCATTAATTAACAAGTTATAAATTAATACTTGATAAGGACTTCTTTCCATTACATATTTTCTCAATAAATACTAAATGTCCAAGTGAAGTAAAGATGTGTTGAAATTACTAAGAAGATTATAATTAAGGGAACTGTATGAAATGATTAATCTAAAACTTCGTTTTTAAAGTAATTTTGTGTGTGTGTGTGTGTGTGTGTGTGTGTGTGTGTGTGTGTGTGACACATTCGGGATCAAACCGGATTCTTGTGTATTTGAGATAAGCACTTTATCACTGAGCTTAGCCTAGATAGTAACTACTTTGATTAAGAGTAAAAACTGAAGCTCATTATTAGTTGAATAGGAAAACAATGTTGGATATGCATACTCTGAGCATGCTTATTATTCCTCTTGAGAGCATAGGGTTTTTTATTCTCTTTTGTTTTTGAGATAAGCTCTCATTGTAGTTCAGGCTAGCCTCTCATTGCAATCCTCCTGCCTCAGTCTCCTAAGTGTTAATGTTATGGGCATGAGCCACTCCCTGGCTTGAGATTACAGTTGTAAATGATTATAGATACCATGAATCTTGCATAAAATTCTAATTGAACTATAACAGGTGGTTCATTTTAACCAACTCATCCGTTCAATAGATGGAAAGACCTCATGTCTTATTATTTGAAATTTTTTACTTTTTTATTTAAAGACTTAATTTAGTTTATTGTTTTGCCTGCATGTATGCCTGTGTACTACGGGCAAGTGTGGTGTGTCTGCAGGGGCCAGGGTGCATCTGAGCCTCTGGTTCTGGGTTTATAGAGCATTGTGAGCTACCCTGGGGTGCTAGGAATCAGAGCTGGTTCCTCTGGAAGAGCAGCCAGGTCTCTCTAGCCTTGATTATTGAAAATTTAAAGATCAACTGTATATTTAAGTACATAAAATCAATAATAATTTCAGAAATACTCATTAATAACTATATGCTGTTCCCTCCAGCGTCATC